TCTCAGGCCTACCAAAGTCCAGCCCTGCACAGCAGCTATGGACTGCCAGGAGGACCTGGGCCAGGACTGCTGGAGAGCAGCATGCTCAGACAGTTCCTGCATCTCTCTGCAGAAGCTGCTGGATACGGCGGCTTTAAGCTCAATGATGCTCAAATGCTTGAGAGAACCAAATTATGAGAGATGACTGCGGTGGCTTGAATAAGAACGTCCCCCATAGGCTCATATATTTCAATGCTTAGGGAGTGGCACTGTTTGAAAGGAGTTGGAGGCATGGCCTTGTTGGAGTGGGCATGACCTTGTTGGAGTAGGTGTGGCCTTGTTGGAGGAAGTGTGTCACTGGGGTGGTCTTTGAGGTTTCAGAAGCTCAAGCCAGGCCCAGTGGCTCCCTCCCTCTCGCTTCCTGCTGCCTACGGATGCAGATGTGGACTGCCCTTTTCTCCAGCACCATGGCTGCCTTGCTGCCTCTGTGCACCACTGACAAGATAACGGACTAAACTTCTGAAACTGTAAGCAAGCCCCAACTCGTTGCTTTCTTTTACAAGAGGTGCCATGGCCGTGGTGTCTCTGCACAGCCATAGAAAAACAGATCATGAAGGATCTGACTTTTAGGCACCTCCAAACAAGCCCCAGGGATGCTGCTCATCCACTTGGCAAGAGTATATGTAGCACATCTCGCTGAAGAGGCTCCTTGTTAACTATCAGCCTCATTCACTTTCTCCCAGGTGCCACTGCATACATGTTGTGCATCTGTGTGGAAGTGTGTGCCGTCAGGGGCAGCATTTTTGGCAAGCTTGAGAGACTCTGCTGTGTAAGGCTGGGTCAGGAAGAATACCCATTACATCATGATCCTGACCTTTGGAAAATCTCTAGTCTTCGTGTTCCTCCTCCTACTCCAGTGGGAAAAGTCCTAACAAATCATATTGAAAACCCAGACCTAAAACTGAAAACAAAATTTAAAAGCCCATTCATGTTTTGAGTAGTTTTAAACAGTTTCTTCATGAGAAAGAGGGAGAGGAAACTTAAATTCTTATCAAAAGAGTGGAAAGCCAAACAGGATAGAAGGAACAAGAATAAGATCCGCTGTTGCTGTCTACGGGCTATGTTTCACTAAGACACTGAGTCCGACATCCTGATCTCAGCCCACAGGATGGAGGAGTCTGATGCCCAGGAGGACCTCCATAGATTGACCCTTGACAGGATAGAGGCATCCAATGCCAAGAAGATTTCAACAGACGTACCCCCAACAGAATAGAGGAGTCCAACGCTCAGAAGGACCTCCCGAGACAGAACAGAGGAGTCTGATGCCAAGATTTCAACAGATTTACCCCCAATAGGATGGAGGAGTTCAATGCCCAGGAGGACCTCCACAGGCTGACTCCTGACAGGATGAAGAGTCCTTTTCCACACCGAGAACTACAATCTGGAGTCCAGCTTTACAACAGGATTCATCCTCTCCCCTTTGCCCCTCCCCTTCTGCCTCAACTTCTCTGCTGTCTCTACCTGCTCTCCCCTGCCCCCAAACGACTGTGACTTTAAGGAAAGCTCATAAGGCCCACCCCTAGATGGAAAGCTGTGGGCATTTAATGACAGCAAGGGAAAATTAGTCTTCCTCAGGGAAAAGCTCCCCAATTGGCCATCCAATAATAAGTGCTCAGCCAAGAAAAGCAAACATACAAAAAACACTAAGTGGTCTCAGTATTTATGAATGTGTATGTGTGATGTATGTATGCATGTAACAAAGGAAAAGGGGCCATAAATTTGAGAGGGAGCAGGGCAAGGAGGATACAGGAAGGGTTGGAGGGAAAAGAGAAGGGGAGAGGATGTAATACAGGGCACGAGTCTGAAATTTTAAAGATTTTTAATTTTAGAAAGGGGACAAAGAAAAATGCACTGGAAAAGCCTTTGGGTTACTGGGGGGAGGGGGGGGTCCCTGGCTCAGTTGCTCTACAGAATCACTAAGTATGCCAGCAATTTTTTTTTGTAGTTCTTTGTAGTTCTTGATTTCTAAAGCCTGTTTTCTGTGTTATGACAGCACTGCTATCTTTTAAAATGTGATTATTTCCTTTAAAGAGTCCATGGGACTATTGGATGAAACAGGTTCCTAACTCGTCTGTGCTGCTATTTGCCATTTATGTTTTAAGCTTTAATTTAAATTTGATTCATACATTATTATTTTAGGTGTGTGTGGGATGTTGTCAGGGTGTGTCAGGTGCCCACAGCCAGCCTTCTGGCTTGAGGTCAGAAGACAGCCTCCAGAGTTGGGAAATCAGTTCTCTCCTGCCACCTTGTGGATTCAGGGATGAAGTGCAGCTCATCCGCCCTGTGTACAAGTGCCTCTACCCTCAGTCGTCTATTAATCCCATGTTACTGTGTTTTTCAATTGTTTCAGTCACCTCTTAGAAGATTCTAATGAATAAAATAGGCAAAAGATCTAAAAGGGCATTCCTCCAAAGACACTCAAATAGTCAATAAGCACACAAAGTATATTTAACATCATCAGTTCCAAAAGAGTTAAAACGTATCAGATGAGGCTTTAATCCCAGCACTTGGGGAGGCAGAGGCAGGTGGATCTCTGCGAGTTCGAGGCCAGCCTGGTCTACAGAGTGAGTTCCAGAATATCCAGGGATACATAGTAAGAACTTGTTTTTTAAAAAAAATTAAATACATACAGAACCCAGATTTAAGACTACATGTGCTTGTATCAATACCTACATGTGTATTTATAAGGCTGGGGGGGTCATGAAACAAGAAAGGGAATCAATTATGAGAAGGGAGAAATTCTTTAAATATAATACTTATATTAATTCTTAGAGAATTGTATACTGTTTTCAGCCATTCACTCCCCAGCCCTCCCTCTAACTCCTCCCAGATCCACTCCTTCCCCAGCTAATCTAAAGCATGATTCTAAAAAAATAAATTTAAAACTTCAGAAGGACACCCTACAAAGGATAATTTATCAAAACATCAGGCAGTAACAAGTGCTGGCACAAATAAGAAAGAATAAGAGCTTACATACACACTAGCATAAATTTTAAGTGGTTGATCCATATGTAAAGCAGACCTCTGTTCCTCAAATGAGTCCTCAGAGTCCACCATGAGCCAGAAGTTCAAGGCCTAGCTATGGGGAAATGAAAGGATATTCACAGAAAGTTTGTACATGGGTGTTTATAGCGGCACTACTTCTAATAGCCCCAAAATGAAAATCAAATAACATAAATGCCCATGAAAAGGGTGTGTACATGAACAGAACGTGACATGTCCTTGCAGTGGAATATTACTTGGCCATAGAAAATTATCAGGTACTGATGCATACTGCCACACGGGTAAACTGTGAAAACAATCAGTAAGAGAAAGAATCCAGACAAAATGGAACACACACATGATTCTAATAAGAAACACCGAAGTGCTGGGCTTACAGATGTCTGCCACCAAGTCAAACTGTCCCTGTGAAATTCCTGATGAAGATTCTTAGCTTTTAGGATAGTTTTTAGTGAGTAACATCTGAATTTCTAAGTTTTGAGAGGTTCAGATTGGACCTATCAAGTCTTGGTGCCTATTTATGGTAGAACTTTAATGGCCTTCTCAATGGGTTCTGGGTCTCTGTATTAATCTCCAGCTACTGTAAAAAGAAGCGTCTTTGAGAAGGGTTGAGAGTTGCACTAATCTGTGGGTATAAAAATAAGAGCTTAGGGGGATGTTTATTAGTACGATCATTTAGCAGAAGAAGATTACTAAGTCCTCCCCTAGGGCCTATGACCTATCCTGCTCTGGGCTTTTGACCCAGCTAACAATGCCAGATATGAGTTCCATCTTGTAGAATGGGCTTAAAACCCAACCTGAAAGTGGTTGGTTAGTCCCATAATGTGGGAGCCACTACTGCACTAGTGTTTATCTGTATGTAGTGTATATGTGTATGTGTATATCTGTCAGTTGTTCTTGTAGCCTGCAGGGTTCACAGCTGGATAAGACTATTGATTACTTTTCTCCCCTGCTAGTGTACAGGTTTTTTTTTTTTTCATTCATTCAGTGTGCATACAACCTTTGAGGATTACGAAAGCTAGCGAGAATTGAAGCTTCTAGTTTTGACTACAGAGATCCTTGTACATTTGTGTTGGCCAATGTCCTATTCACACTGGCTAGGAAACAATCAGCCTGGATCCCAACCAGCTGAAGATAGATAGTGAAAATGTGGTAGGTACACGTAACTGAACTTTATCCAACCATTTAAAAAAAATTGAGGGGGCTGGAGAGATGGCTCAGTGGTTAAGAGCACTGACTGCTCTTCCAGAGGACCCAGGTTCAATTCCCAGCACCCACATGGCAGCTCACAACTGTCTGAAGATCCAGTTGCAGGGGATCTGACATCTTCACACCAATGCACATAAAATAAAGTTAAATAAACCATAAAAATACTTTTAAAAAATGAAATTATAAGACTTACAGGTAAATAGGTGGAACTAGAAAATTCTACTGAGTGAAGTAGCCCAGGCTCAGAAAGACAAGCGTATGTTCTCTCGCATATGCAGATACTAGCTTTGAATCTTTAGATTTGTGGTCCCCACCCCACGCTCGCCCCTTGGAATGCCTGTAGAGGTAAGAAAGGTAGAGAGGGGCCACTGGGAAAAGGGACTTAAGAGAAGAGGAACAATAGAACATATGTGATCAGGAAGTAGAAGGGGGAGAGGCTGAGGCAAATATCTTAATCTTGTATCACAAAGCCATTGTGAATTCAGTTTCCCCTCTCGCGGGTCACTAATACCTGACACTGGGAAGTAGAGAAATCAGGGCTAATGAACCATCTAGAGGCAGGTTGGTGATGGCGCTTAAGTTTTGTTTAAGAGACAGGACCAGACCTAGCAGGCAGTCAGGGTAGGCGTGGGGGCGGGCATCACACTGGACTTCACAAGTCAGCCTAGGGAAAGGAGGGGATACTGAAGCAGGGTCATCCAAAGAACGCCTTTACTCATGCACATGTATTTCCTGTTTAATCTTGGTGACAGTCCAAGAGCAGTTTGATCGTATCTGTAATTGAAGAAAATGAAATTATTAAAAAGAAGAAGAAACTAAAGGTAAGAGAACAAGTGAGTTGAATTAAACACAGTTAAGAGAACTCCAAATCATTTGTATCCATGTGCTAGGGACGTGGGATTCCACCTCATAGACATTCAAGTCTAAATGACCAAGAGTCAAGTTAGCGTTTGTTCATTCCCCCCTGTCTCCTCCTCCTCCGTCTGGGCTCTTGGATCTGAGTCTGACTGTGACGTGCTGACTGGAAAGAGGGAAACCCATCGGAAATTGCCTGGGGCTAGAAGTCCAGAGCACCAGTACTGTGAATTAAGCAGAATGGTCTAAATACAGACAGGTTGATTGTAGAACAGGAAGGAAGTGCTACAAGCCACACTGTGGAGTGAAAATACATGATTATCACAGAGAGCAATCAGATGATGGGGGGGGGGGGAAAAGATAAAAAAAAAGAAAAGAAAGAAAAGAAAGAAAAGAAAAGAAAAGAAAAGAAAAGAAAAGAAAAGAAAAGAAACACCCAGGCGAAAACATCGGGAGAGCCAATGTTCCTGAATCAGCAAGGGCTAACCGTGTGGTGTGACTACACCATTGATCCTCCTATCCCCAGCACACCCTTCTGGTGACTCTGGTTTGCTCTTGATTTAGGCAGCAATGAAGTAGGCAAAAAACGATGTTATTAGCCAAGGATGGAGGTACATTTCCTGTGATCCCAGCCCTTGGGAGATGGAGGCAGAAAGGAAGAACAGAAATTTAAGGTCATCCTCCACTATATAAAGAGTTCAAGGCCAGTGTAGAAAACACGGGATGAAAAAGAGAGGAACAATCAGGCGGTGGTTGCCCACGCCTTTAATCCCAGCACTCAGGAGGCAGAGGCAGGTAGATCTCTGTGAGTTTGAGGCCAGCCTGGTCTACAGAGCGAGTTCCAGGACAGCCAAAGCTGTCGGTCTCAAAAAGAAACCCTGTATGGAAGAAGGAGAAAAGGAAAGAGAAGAGAAAAGAAAAGAGAAGAGAAAAAAGAAAAGAAAAGAAAAATAGAGGAACTGAGACACTGAGAATGAGGTGATGTGCCCACAATGGCAGGGAAGGGTCCCGACAAGGTCCGGCTCCTCATCAGAGTTCTGCTAGATCCCAGAACTCCCAGGGGAGGAGCCAGTACTAAGAGACAGCCCAGCGCCCTTCCAAGAAGCCCCTGAAATTTGGTAGCAGGAAGGTCCTTGAGTAATCTCTCTTATCTCTGTCTAGAAAAAGCTAAAGAAGAAAAGAACTAAAGCAGCCGTTAAGCTCCAGGCCTGGTGGCGTGGCACCCTGGTGCGCCGGACCCTGCTACACGCAGCCCTCAGAGTCTGGATCATCCAGTGCTGGTGGCGGCTGACGCTCTGGAAGATCCTGGAGAAGAAGCGGAGGAAAGCGCTGGTTGAATTCTCAAACAAGGAGAGAGCGGTCGTCAAGATCCAGTCTCTGATTCGGATGTGGCGCATCCACTGGCGGTACTGCCAAGTCCTCAGTGCCATCTACATCATCCAGGGCCACTGGAAATACCACAATTGCCAGTCCTGCTCCCTCCTGCGGGGCCACTGTGTGATCACGACCACTCACCTACAGTTCCACATTGAAATCATCGACCACTGAGGACTGAGTAAAAGGGACGCTCAGCCTTCGGTCCCCAGTAAAGATCTAAATGGTTGGTCTAAGTTTCTGTTCCCATCTAATGGACGCCTTGAGATTTGGGCCTTGCTGGCTCCTGTTGCCTCTCTCAGCGATCAACAGTGAGGATTTGCTGTGCTTGCATTTTGGGAGGGTAATGGTGACACACCACTCAGTCACCAAAGCATCAGTTAGGTCCCAACTTATGACACAGTCAGAAGTCCAGTTCCCATTCCCAGGCCCGTTCCTTTCTCCCCATCACTGATTGGAAGACTACATCCCATAAAAACTCTTAATACCCTGCGTACCCAGACTGACTCTGGGGTCTGCAGTCAGGGTTGACTGGGATCCAGAGTGCCTCTGTTTCCTTTTTGGGAAGCATCTAAAAGAAAATGCCAAAGTCTGAATGAGGTCATCACAGTGAGGCCCCAAGGGAAGAGAGGAGGTTGACCTTGGTGCTGGCTGGGGCTGGGCAGGTCAACAGGCAGTGAGATGACCCTGACAACAGGTGGAAAAGGACTCTCACAGACTAGAGGGATGGCTCATTGGTTAAGCTCTTTCTCCAGAGGACCCAGATTTGATTCCCGGAACTCACATGGCAGTTCATAGCTGCCTATAACTCCAGTTTCAGGAGATCCAACACCTTCACACAGACATACATGCAGGCAAAACACAAATGTGCATGAAATAAAAATAAATCTTTTTTTAAAAAAAGGACACTCCCGGCCCCTCAATTCCTTCTTCACAATTCTCACCCAAACTCCTCTCTCCTGGAGGGTTGTGTGGCAAATGAGGTGCTCTCTAATAATCACCCCTTCCCCAACCCACAAGCAGCCCGCCCAAGCTCTTCAACTCTGCTCCCACAGCCATACTAAAATATCACTGTTGTGCGGCACCTTCTTTAGGTGCGCTGTCTGGTATGGACAACCCCTGGAAACATACCTAGTGAAGCTGAGGACGTGGGTTTCTGCACTGTGGCTCCTGCACTGGAGAGTGAGGCTCTGCCGGACTCTGCTCAAACCACTTTCTCTGCCCCGCCCCCAGGTCTCTGCTTCCTTCCTCCTCTCCTTCCGGCACAGCTTCTCAATAACCAAGTGTGTCTCTTCCCGTGTGTTAAGATCTTCATTCTCAGGCGGGTGGTGATGGTGCACACTTGAATCCCAGCACTCGGGAGACAGAGGCAGACAGATCTCTGAGTTCAAAGCCAGCCTGGTCTACAAAGTTAGTTCCAGGACAGGTGCCAAAGTTCTCAAAAAAAAAAAAAAAAAAAACACCACTTCATTCTCTCGCTTCCGCGAGTCTTTCAGGCATCATGCTTGTCATCTTTCACTTTGTCAGTTCCGATTCTGTGCTTTACTGTGGCCAATTCTCTGCACAGTTGGGCTGCTTTTCTTCCTTCCTCCATCAATTTCCCTCCCTGTCCCTCCTTTCCCTCTCTCTCTCTCGACACATGTGGGATGAACTCACCTGTCTTCCTGCTCCCTTGCCTTTAGCGCAATTTGAACAAGACTGTCTATATTCAAGACTATGTATCTCAACTGAATAGTCTCTCATGTTTGCATTTCCATTTTATGGGTTGAATAAGCTAAAACCTCTCCTCTCCAAATACTCAGTTTTGCTTCTTCTCTCCTCCACTTGATTGAAGAAAAGGGAACATATTGGATCCCCAATTTCCTATCACCCTGTTTGCAGCTTACCAAGCCCCACCCACACTCACTGCTTTCTCTCCAGTGAAATTAAGTCTTTGTCCTGGTCACAAGCCACTTCCTCAGATTATGCTTCTGATGTGAGATTCCCCTCTGTATGCTGTGAATACCATTGGTTAATAAAGAAACTGACTTGGTCTGATAGGGTAGAATAGAACTTAGGTAGGCAGGGAAAACTAAACTGAATGCTGGGAGAAGGAAGGCAGGGTGAAAGAGAAGCCTTGTAGCCCAGCCGGAAACAGATGCCGGAACTTTATTTACCTGGCAAGCCACAGCCTCATGGCGATACACAGATTACTAGAAATAGGTTAAATTAAGATATAATTTAAATTAAGATAGCCAATAAAAAGCTAGAGCTAATGGACCAAGCAGTGATTTAAATAATATAGTTTCTATGTGATTATTTCAGGTCTGAGTGGGCAGTCTGGAAACAAACAAGAAACCCCTTACAACAAGCTTCTACCTTCTCAAGCTGCCTAATGCAATATATGGAGCCTAGCTGTCCAAATTATCAATCTGCCTCTCCTTAAAAATATTTCTTTCACACTGGGCATGGTGACACCCACCTTTAACCCCAGCACCCTGGAGACAGAGGCTGGCAGATCTCTGAGTGTTCAAGGCCAGCCTCAACTACAGAGCAAGTTGCAGACCAGAGAGACCTGAATAGTGAAACCCTGTCTCTAAACCTAGGCGAGGAGAGGTGTGACCAGAGAGATAGCTCCGCGGTTAAAAGCATGTCCTGCTCCTTCAGAAGTCCCAAGTGGGGTTCCAGAACCAAGGTCAGGTTACTCTCAATCACCTGTAACTCCAGCTCTAGGAGATCCAACACCTCTGGTCTTGAAGAGCTCCTGCTTTCACGTGCACACACTCATACAAAGACACATACACAGGATTTCACACAAACTTTAAAATAATACGATACAAATAAAATCCTTTTTAAAAAATGTTTTCTTTAACTTCTGTTCTAGATCTTTGCTTCTCCTCATAGTAAGACATGTTACTACTCTTTTCACGTCTGCTCTCTCCTCTTTTCCTCCAGTCCATACCCCACCCCACCTCTTTCTCTGTCTCTCCTCTCTCTCTCTCTCTCTCTCTCTCTCTCTCTCTCTCACACACACACACACACACACACACACACACACATACACACACATTTTAAAGAAGTTGGTCAGGAGAGATGGCTCAGCAGTTGAAGATGCACACTGCTCTTGCAGAGGACCCAAGTTCAGTTCCTAGCGCCCACACCAGCTGCCTCAGAACTGCCTGCAACTCCAGTTCCAGGAGATGTGAAGCCTCTGACCTCCACACATACATACCTGCACTCACACGGGCACATAACCACGAACAGGGTCATACATATACACATAGTTAAAAATAAACTTTCGGGGTTGGAGAGGTGTCTCAGCTCTGTCTGCTCTTCCAGAGGTCCTGAGTTCACATACATAAAATAAATAAACTTTTTTTAAAAAGACACTTGACTTGAAGGGATCTATGGTTTGTTTCGTTAGAGCTGTTTACCTCTACTTAAAGACAATTGCCTTGGGTGTGGTGGTGCATGCCTTTGATCCCAGCACTCAGGTGAATCTCTGTGAGTCTGAGGCCAGCCTGGTCTATAGAGCTATTTCCAGTTATCCTGAGAGAAACCCTGCCTCAAAAAAAACAGGGGGCTGAAGAGATGGCTCAGAGGTTAAGAGCACTGCCTGCTCTTCCAAAGGTCCTGAGTTCAATTTCCAGCAACCACATGGTGGCTCACAACCATCTGTAATGGGGTCTGGTGCCCTCTTCTGGCATGCAGGCATACACACAGACAGAATATTGTATACATAATAAATAAATAAATTTTAAAAAAAACAAAAAAAATCCAAGACAATTGCCTATATGTAGTAGTCATATTCAAAAATTTTATGAAATTGCCTCAGTGATAAGTGGGAAATTCTAAAATTCTCCAATTGAACAAGATAGGCAAAGATTTTCATGTTGTTATTGGTGGTGGCTGTTGGTTAAACAGCAGGAGCAAAAGGACTTACTGGGAAATTAAGAGCTGAGCAGCAGAAAGAAAGGGGACTTCACAGGACCAGGTTTCCTACCATCCTGCATCTGACTTCAGCAGGCAGACCTCTGTGAGTTCAAGGCCAGCCTGTTCAAGACAAGGCTATTTAGAGACCCTGTCTCAAAACAAAACAAAACAAAAAAGCAGCATACCCTTTGGGAAGAAGGGAGACAGAAAAATGGTTCAGCCAGTAAAGTGCTTGCTTGAGTCTGATTCCAGTACCCATGTAAAAAGAACCAGGCTTGGCGGGACACACCTGTATCCCAGACTTGGAAAGGCAGAAACAGGAGGGTACCTGGGGTTTGAAAGGCCAGCTGATCCAGCTAAACTGGTAGATTCTAGGTTCACTGAGAGACCCTGAGTCAAAAACTAAGATGGAGAAGGAAGGGGAAAGACGTCTAAAGTCAATCTTCCCCTCCACAAGTACATGTGTGAAAACACACACACATGCACACACGGACACACACACTCATATATATACATACACACAATGAAAGACCCCCGAGGGACGTCTTCCTTACGAGAGAGGCCCCGAACCCACGAATCAGACGAAACCACACTTACGGATGCAAACAGCAAGAGGTTTATTCGAATACACAGGTACCTGGGGCAACAAGGTCTCTCGGAAGACTTGCGCGCCCCCAGGTTGGAGTGAGGGGTTCTTATAGGAGAGCAAAAGCACGGGTACAGAAGCGAAAAGCGTGGTTATGGGGATTCATTCCATTGGTCAATTCAAATAAGGCTAAGAATGTGCGCTGAGTGGCAAATTCTTGACCTTTCACCTAAATACCAAGGAGGGGGTTGTCCAGGGGCTTCCTGTTTTTCCTGCTTTCCTAGCTGGAGACCCGATGGCTGGCTGTAATTATCCTGACTCACATCCTGTCACAGGACAAAAGGCCTCCCCCCTTGACTTTAATGCCTTCCATTCCAACATCCAGGGTAGTATTCTTTTCTTTTTTTCCTTTTCAACATCTGAAAAAAAGGCACACATGTAACATGAGGGGGGCTGTTTGTTGGGGGTTTTTCTGTCCTGCCCGGCCCCCCAGCTGTTTAGTCTCAGAGAAAAATCACACAGGAGATCTCTGTAAGTTATAAAGCTGATTGGCCTTTTAGGTCGATCTACTTATTAGCTAACTCTCACATCTTGATTAACCCATTATTCTGATCTATTTTAGCCATGTGGCTCAGTACCTTTTTCAGTGGGGCAGCTTACAACCTGCTGCTTCAGTGATCTGGGTAGGAGTGAGAGGAATCAACTTCCTCCTCCCCAGAATTCTCCTGCTC